GGGCATTTTTCACTAAAAGCATTAACAGGTATCTTGAAGGGAAGGAAGTTTCCATGAATTGGGGCCAAAAAAACCCGGCCAGGTTTTGAAACAGAACAGCCAGGAGCAAGTAGATGAGGGATGGATGGGCATTAAAATAGCCTCAGGGTGTTTATCCCCTCAGGATGTTCAACCACTATGTTTGCTTTCCAAGCAGTTAAAGCAATATGCTGATAATCAAATCTGTGTAAAGCAGTATTACAAATGCGAATGAAATTTCCCAAAACGTAGCTAATTGGCAGAGGAATTTCTTTCGAAGCTTAAAATGTGAAATCCTAGTCAAGCTCACATACAGAAAAGACTGGGCTTGTCTTTAAAGTAGCTCTCCTACTTGAGGGAGGGAAATGAGTGGTATTCCTACTACTGGCTCAGGGTTTGTTGACTACATATAAACATTTGTTGTGAATAATACCTTTATTATTTCTCTTGTGGCTGAGTCCCTCATTCCACAGATACACAATCACTTTTAGGTAATGTAAATACAGGGTGCTGCTGGAGAGGCTACTCTACCCTTCTTGGCACCCTGGATATGTATTCCCAGCCAGCATGGTAACCAGAGCAGGGAACTGTTCTATTTATAAATAAATGGGATCATGGGAAAAGTGGAGATAGACTTGTCCTTTGTGGTGACAGCTTGCACCTTGGCTTAAAATTAGAAAGGAATTACACATTTTAAAAGGAGACTAATGTAAAATAAAATCCAGTTTAGAGCAGCAAATGTAAAAGTATTTGGTCTGAAACAAGTAGAATATCACCGGAACGTACTAACAGCTATCTATAGTGCAGACTTTATGCTGTTGAAGTGGCTCCTCAAATAAAATGCCCTCTGAAAACAAGCAGACGTTAGACTGATGCACAAGCAAATAAGTGCACAGGTTGTTATCTGTAAAACTTGGGGAAAAGGGACATGGGGAATGAACAGATATTTCAGTTATTCTGAAACCTGGTTAATATTTACCCAGAGATAAATACCTTAGTGACCAGTCGGGTTAATGCAACACTAGCAATGGTCATAGTGTATAATTATAGTAGATATTGCATATCTGAGCATTTTTGGCATCTCAAGGGATGTTTTTCTCATTCTGAAAAGAGCCTTTGGGGTGTTTTTTATGTAATGCACTGAATGTTCCTGCCACAATGGCACCAACTCCTCTAGTGCTCTGTCTCCTGAAGTAGGGAAGATTTTTCAGACATAAATGGTGACATGATATCATAACTCAAAGACTGCTAAGCAGTTCTGCCTGGTAAAGAAATAAGTTAGGAATCCAAAGCACAGGCATATTGTGCTAAACTTTCACTGTGCTAAACTTACAGCTGTGTTAATGTCATTTTCTAGTGTAACACAAGTGAAGAGCCAGATCTAATTTTTACTTGTAAGATATGGAAATGATGCACATGCTTTCTTGTTTGCCTGAGCTGATCCTTCTTTATGAGTAACTTTCACACAGATTATTCCCTGCTTTCTTCATGTATATCAGACTTCCACTGACTTTGTTCCTTATTTCTTTTGAAGAATGACCTCAGGCTTGTCCCTCTCTTAAAAGTCTAGAACTCCATATGACACCAAGAGGCACAGTCTCCCTGAAGAAGATGAGGACCAAGAACTTGGATTTGGCAAATATAAGTGACGAATGTTCTTCAAAGAAGTGTCACTTCTTACCTAAGTATTATTTTCTCATCTAAATATTACTGGAACTGTTTGTAGAAGCCCACCAAAAAATATTGACACCATTACCAATGCTGGAAGCATGCTCTTAAAGGCCTATTCATATACTACCAATGATCAAACAATTACTTCCATACAGAATTACTCTCAACCACAACCCATTTCAGTCAAAAAAGGAAACTGCTTACTTTCCAAATCCAGCTTCAGAAACTATTTTCCTCCTTCATTGAGACCACTTGTATCTGGGATAACCTCTACAGATACCAGGAACAACCTGAATAAAAGAGCCTGGTCTCCTCCAAGAAGTGGGCAAACTGAACAACAGGATGTTCTGATGAAAAAACAAGCTGCTAGGATCAGCTCTGATCCAAGCCTTTTGTGGCCAACAGGTAAGAAAAGAAGTGCTGCAATATATGAAGAAAGAAGGTATGAAGGTAGCACAGAGCTGACAATACCGTTTTCTACCTGCATCAGCACCTTTCTGAAGATCACTGACTGAAAATGACTACTACAAAATCAAGATTATCTTGGCAGGAAGTTTTTCAAAGAACTATCCTATCTGTGTAAAGTCACAGAAGACAAGAGCATTATAGTCATTAAAGCAACTTAAAACCTGACTGACTGTTTTGAATTTGAATTTATTCTATAACCTTTATTCACATGATCATCTGAATAATGCTGTACCTTCACTTGAACCTTGATTTGGCCCCTGTGATTGGTACATTCATTACCTTGGGCTCAGTTCCTGTGCTTTTTTTATTCCTGTGCTTTTTTTGTAGTAAAACTAGTTTGCTGCCAGAATTGCATAGACAGAAAATGCCACAGAAGCCATTGATTTCCAGTGTGAACAGAGTGATTCTACAGAAAAATACAAATGCCACCTACTAAAAATGGAGCCTCAGAAGAAAAGGAAATCTCTCTGTTACACCCATTCCCCTGGAACTTGACCACAGAATATTTTAAAACCCCCTGAATTTTACTCACTTTAGGCTAAAATAATGCGGCTTACTTATTTAATTTAGTTACCCTAAAAATAATTGATGCTGGGAGAAGTAACTTTATGATACATCTTTTTTTTTAATGTGAAAGACATATTAAAGTAATAAATATGGTATAACATTTTTAGGCAAGTACGGAAGGGTAATTAATCCCTGCAGCGCTCTGCCACTGGTTCTGTGCAGTCTACTTTAGAAATCAGAAACCTCATATGGGAATGAATAAATTACTTTGCAAAAGCGGTTTTCTCTTGCTGCTGATAACGTTATCTCTCACATGCTTTGATCAACAGAACATTCAGCTAAAGGAGGAGTTTAGAAGTCTCTTCCATACTATTAAAAATAGGAAGAATATCACAATATGAAAATTAGCAGGTAGAGAAGATGAATGACACCCGATAGAGGTGTCAGATATAAACTGTCTCTGTGCCAATTTTTAGTGTAATCCTGCCCGTGGCACGGAGATTTTGCTTTTGTGCCATGTTTGGAAGCTCAATGTTTTATTCTTCCAGTTGCATTAAACTGTGACAATGGGAGATATACAGATTTATTTTTTAATAGGATTCAGCCTGCCCAGCAGTCATTTAGCTGGAAATGCCACTGCTTTAAGGCAGAGCTTCACGACTTAGTTTGTACAGGCACAGTTTGTCATCACAAAAAAAGATGGCACTGCACCATGTCACTGTCAGCAGTGGCAGTAGCAGCTTCTGGCTGTGTGCAGGGCTGCACCTGCACTGTAGGAGATGTGATTCTAGCCCTAGTATTTCTCTAAGTCCTCTCTCGGCCTTTGTACCCACAGTAGAGGAGGAAGAGGTATTATGGTCATTGCCTGTCTTCTCTGGGATTGTTTTGAAATTGCTCCCACCACATGCACCTTACCTGTAGGATGCCTACAGCTTAGGATTGAAAGCACATACAGAATTTTAATGCTTCCCGTTCATAGATTTCAAAGCAAAAGCCAGTGATGAAAGCATCATTGCATACTTAACCTCAGCTTTTTTGCACATGAGGAGAAAGAGAGATACAGAAAAGTTAAGATCAACATCTTCAAAAGCATTAGTGCCTAACTCTCACTGAAATCAATCTAAGCTAAGAGTCTAACAAGCTATGGACATCTGTGCTCGGGTGACTTAAAGGGAAACTCCATTCCACTCATTCTGAGCTCCATCTCACTGCATGAAGCCATACCTGACCCTCCAGCACGTACAGACTGTTGTTCATGCAAACACAGTGTATAGAAATGCATGACATACATACATACTTTTTTGAACTTTTACTTTTAGCAGACTGAAACCTCCTTTAATGTTCAGAAATGTTTCCAGTTCTTATTGGGAACCACTAGATGATTGCCAATGACAGAGTCTCATAAGGTTTTGAAAAGCAGACTTTATTTAATAGGCACATCATTGCTTTAATAGCACTGGGCTGCACAGCTCACTTCACCATCGTAAATGGTTTTGTTTGATTACATTGCATTTCCTCAGTGTCGGTAGGATTCAAGTAAAAAAGTTACTGCATTTACTTCTCTATCACGTCTCAAGATGTAGTAAACAACTAGCACACAGGAGAATAATACAGACAGAACTGCCTGCGATCCAGAAGTCAGGACAAACTGAAATTTAAGCACTGAACAGTTAAAGCTGCAAGACAACCACACTACATTTGCTCAGGTGAGATTTTGCATTATGCAGTATAGAGACGAATGTTGCCCACTAATACAACAAGGGACTGGCTTTCTTATACTGAGGAACAAAGACTGTCCAACACAGACAAGAGTGAGGGTTTCAAAACAAAACAGCTCATATGAAATTAGCTCCCTTTTTATTTCTGATTATAAAAGTGGTACTCCCTCAGCTGTAAAAGTTAAAGGCCTAAAAGAACAGTACTGCTTACAGAACTCTAAACCTGCAATTTAATCAGCTTTTCCCCCCTATATTACAACTCTTTGTGATAAGACAAAACCTTCTTTAAAGACAAAAGCATAGCATTCTGGATTATTTTCATAATTAAGTAGTTTACTTGGTTGATATATTTCTTCCCTGAAAAACTGCATTTTAATATTTTATTAAATTTCACCAGAAAAAGCGTACAAAATCAGAAATCATTAGAGGAAGATAATATTGCTCTACGAAAGAAAAAAGCATGACTTCTAACATAGTTTTATGAACATCGTAAAAGAAGCACATATGGCTGTGAAACATTTTGAAAATGGAGAAATATTTTGTGAGTTTCAATGTTCTTAGGTTTTATATTCTATTTTCTGAATAGTTATAGAGTTAATATCTCGCAAATTTTTTTATATGTATTTTCTAGCGTTGTATAGGACAGACAACCTAAAACCAACAATGCAGAAATCTAGCGTGCCACACACTTTAATATACACTAGTTACTTTAATTACTAGCACTTTACATTGACGGTACCTACTGTATTTGTAAAACTCATTTTTTAATCAGCTTGTCAAAGCTTTTGAGAAGCAATCTGGGCAATAAGGTGGGTATTTTTAGTGTCTACCATGAATACGGCCAATTACAGAATCAGAGGTCGCTCTCTCCATACAGTGCTGATGAAAAAGAGGTGTAATCCAGAGCCCCAGGAACAGAACCTGGGCCGGTGTACGGGGGCATTCTCTTGATGCAGTACTGAGCCTGCTCAGGAGGCAGCTCTCGACGTAACTCATCTGCCAGGATATAAGGCTGGGAGGAGGGAAAGGATTGACAAATTCAGTATATATTCTTCAAAGACACAAAATACGTTTATTTTCTGTAGCTGTGACTAATAAACTTGGACATCTTGCCTATTTTTCCAAGACCAAATGTTTTCCTCAGTAAATTCCATCCCTAATGATGAGTTGAAGGAGACAATCCTACCAACAAACTGATTAGGTCAAAATTCGGTCTCAGGATATGTGACTGTGTATGTTAGCTACCGAGCACTGTGCAGGCATGGGTAGACCCCTACTGATACAGCTCATCCATGGATAGCTAGTCAGTATCTCTAAAGTGCACTACTGCCCCTTCCACAAGGACAGGACAGACACATTTTCAGTTAGATCCTGTTAGTTTCAAGGTCCTAATATATTTGCAATGCAAGATGCATGATTGCTCTTAATGGTTTGCATTTATGATATGAAGGATACCCTCTGTTAAAAAACTTGACATGATTTAAAATAGCAATGTAATTAAAACCATTTTTTCCTGAGACCTTGGCTTTCATCTTCCACATGAATTCCTACTGAGAATATGTCTGGAATTCAAAATGTGGCCCACAAAAACTGAGATCACAAAATCAATACAAACAGCCAGAATGAGAAAATCAATAGAGCAAGCTTGGGCAAATAGACCTGTACTGCTGTGATCTCTCCTTTCTCCACAGCACCAGATTGGTTTCCTGGCAGCACTGTTTATGGCCCTAACTCCTCCAGAAGCTGTTCTGTTGCCTTTATCCTCCTTTTCATGTTAATACACCACTCACTCAGCAGTGGATCTGGCTGTGAGGAGGAAAGTGCCAAATTCAAGAGCTTCCTTCATGAACCCAGTAAATAGAGGAGGCCACTTCCTCCTGCTTCTCCTAGGATAGGGGTACACCACATTACATCACCTTGTTGAATGAACTATCAGGTCACAACATGGCTCACAATTAGGAGTAGTCTTGTGCAACTGACCCAGGCTATGTTCCAGAGGGCCAAACTCCACATTGAAACATCCAGACAACAGCCCCTCTAATCAAGCCTCTTGTCTGGAAATAACCTGATGTACAATATATTTATTATACAGACAAACTATCTAACTCTTGTCTAAGATGTCTAATTTTTTTGTTGGCTGTTTGTGATATAAGGGTATACAAATCAAGCCTTGAATTCTGCACTCATTTTAGCTAAGAGTCTTGGTTCCAAACAAGAAGAAAAGGCAAATGCTTTCTACAAAATCTTACAAACTGAAAACTAAGCTTCACTATTATTAAAAGGTTTGTATAGGACTTTCAGCAAAGGAGGGCTAAATAGAAGAGCTATTGAATCCTTTCACTCAGCAGCATGATGACTGACCTTATCTGAAGCCAGGATTCTGAAGGAAGCTATCACTTGCTCAGCCGTGTCTGTGTCTGCCGTTTCTCTGGTCATGAAGTCAATGAAGGACTGGAAAGTAACGGTTCCTTGCCCATTGGGGTCAACCAGAGACATGATTCGGGCAAACTCAGCTTCACCCTTTCACAGAATCCAAAACAAAAAAATGGTCACCATAATATCAATCACCAACAGCCCGTGCCTCTCATGAACCAGTAGGGATCAGTGGTTACAAAGTCTTTAAAGCATCTCTCTGACTTAGGAACATAAACGTCAGAGTCAATGAAATCTGGAATCTTAAACGCCCATCCCTCTTTTGTAAGGACTCCATGCTTTTGAAAAATATATTCTTTCTCCTAAATACATAGTATCCACCTTTCAATTAACTTTCTGCAACTTCTGCCCCCTCCCACTCTCCCTCAATGCCCTTTCAATTTGTTTTAACTTAACTCTTCATTTTCCTTCCCATCCTAAAACCATTGTAATTTAGATACCATACAGGGAGGTGAAACAATAGCCCAAGAAGCAGTGTACCTGCAGACCCACTGAACTAAGAAGAGAAACAATTCTGAAAATTTCATGCCAAACATAGGACAATTCAACTAAGGCTAATCCTTTTCCCACTAAAAAGGTTGAATTTGGGGCAAAATTTTTTGAAGTGAAGGAAAGAAGGTGCAACCCCCAAAGTTAGTTTGTGAGAATTAAATAGCATCAAACTCGTTCTTCTTCATGCAGATAAAAAATGAGAAAGAAAAAAAAAGTCATTTAATAATTGTTAATTTCAACTTCTAAAGTTTCCTTAATTCAAAGAACAATGCAGCAGACCATAGAATATGGTTTTCAAGTGTCTAGTTTTAACTTCTTTTTAACCATTTGAAAATAGAGAAAAAGCAAAGAAACGAGAAACTAGTATCTCTACTGTAAATTATATTATTAGTATTTTGTCAATTTAAATAAGCTTTAGTGTTGCTGTGGTTAATGTTATAATCTGTAAGCAGAATCAATTGCCATTGTTTCTTAAAATTCATACCAAATCGTAACCCATTGAAATTAAGCAAGCTCTGAAATCATCGTGGTCCATCAATCCATTCTTCCTCTATTGACCAAAGCAACGTAAGGAATATAGAAGGGAAGGTGTGAAGAATCCAAGGTAATTTCCAGAGAGATGACAAGTTTAGACCATTGGCATATTGAATCCAGTGTATGAACAATGATATTGTCGAAGCAGGTCACCAGAATCATCATCAGTTTTAAAGGAGGAAGAAGTAACTAACATATTACACACAGGAAACCAACATTTTCGCCACAAAAAGTAACATCAGGAAAGGTAAGGGGAGAGATAAGGGAGGAGAGGAGGTAAATGAGACAAGAGTACAGAGAACACAACCAGAGAAGACAAAGAGAAGTGCAAGGAGAAAAGTTTGTTACTAAACTAGTCAAACTCAGTAGATGCTCAAGCTGCCTCCCTAAAACAAAATGTTTTTGAAAGGTTCTGCATGGGATGCTGTAGTGACTACAAGTTTAGTTAAAAACTCTGAAAATAGTGTATCACTGACTATTTCAAATACTCCACTGCAAGGCTGAGGCAGGTACACTATGAGAGCTGTCTGCTGACATAGGGGAAGTAACTACAGGGATTTTCCTTCTGACTGCAGGCTATCAAGACCTGGCCTACAGCAGAGATGTGCACATACTGGCTTAAAGGATGAGACTTGCAAGGCTTAGAGGGAGATCAGTTGAAGACCTTGTATAAAAGGAGGTTGCTCATTTTCCAGGTGATAACGT